CCTCATCTCATTCCTTTACTCCCCCCCCCTCTCCCCCCTCCAATCCCCTTCCTCCTTCCCAACTCCTCCCTTCCTTCCATGTAGACCTGCCATCCCTTGCTCCTTCTCACTCCCTCTCACTCCCACACTCTTACAAGACTCTGTGCCTTTGTGTGTACCTTAAGTAGTGAGGGGGAAACCCTTTCCTCACGGCAATACTCTCTATTGAGAATAGTGCGAATGGGATTCACAAACATCATACGGTATGATGTGCGAAAGTAGTTAATATCTTGCTGCACAATCCTTTTTGTTTTTGAACTCTTTTCATATGAGAAATGTGTTAGGGAACAGGCCGGAGTAAGCATCCATGCTAGGCCGAGCCAGAAGGTTCCATCCACAGACCACTCTACGCTACTTCACGCTAGTGTTTAACTCACGAACTCGCGACTCCCTCTCCTCCCTGCTTCCCTCTCTCATCCCCTCTCCTTCCCATCTCCTCTCCGCCACACCACAGCAGGCGGGGCGCGGGCGCATGGGCGGGCCATGAGTGTTACACTTGAGAGCACCTTGCTCGGCCAGCAGTTTCCCCTCAAAGGACTCCGCCGTAAAAAAAATGGTTCTGCCAGAAAAAAGGAGGAAGAGAGAGAGACAAGAGAGAGACAGAGTGAGAGAGAGTGTGTGCGAGCTCCACAAACAGCTAACCGCAGTTTCACGCGGTCGCACGTCCCCTTCTCTCTCTCTTCCCGCTCCGTCTGTGAGAGACTGTGGGCGGGAGGCCTGGTATGGAGCGAGCGTGCTAGCGCAGAGGACATTGTAAAAAATATATATATTTTCCTTGTTTTATCCCAATGCCAATACGGCAATTATTTTTGTCCTCCCCTCCCTGCCCTCTGTTATGTGCAGTGTAGTATCCTCCTCCTTTCTCCGGTCGCACAAGTTTTACCCTCGAGGTTTTGCAATCTACGTGCGCGGCTCTCTTCTTATTTTGCAGTAAATGCAACTCATCAGCCTCCCCATCTCTCTCCCTCTCGCTCGCTCCAGGTTCATTCCCTTTCTCCCTCCTCGTCACACGCCATAAAGTTCGGACTATGCTCTGCTCGACGCGGCCATCTCTCCCGGCGAGAGAAGGGAGGGCGACGCCACGGCAGCGGTGTGGGCGGGGCGGCTTGCTGGGCTCGCCGGGCCGCCTCAGGGCCGTGGCGATGACAACGTGGTTCGGTCTCCGCCGCACCAGGCGCTGGATCCGATACATTCCGCATTCCGTTCAGCGACGGTCACCCGAAGCGGGCCGAGGGCGCCACGCTGGGAAGGGCTGGACTTGGTGGTGCCAGGCTAGGCGAGGCGCCCGACCCACGTCCGTAAATTTTGCGATCCATCCGGTCGCCTGATCGCCCCATCCCAGTTCATCCCCCCCACCCACCTCCCCC